CACCACAGACGCACTTTGAAGCTGCTCTCTCGAAGCATAATAGCAGTAATGAATGATCATAATTGTCTTGGCACTCGAAATCCCGTTCTTGAATGGTGGGAAGTACGACGAAATTAAGAGTGGGAATTACAATGAGTGGAGCCTTAAAGTTCTTCCAATTCGGGACAAGACATCTCAACATCATCCCGAGACAAATCGTAAGCCACAAATTAGGTAGTGAGATCGGCCACCTATTTATATTCGAAGAGGAAACTTATGACCTACCTGGAGGGTGTGATGGTGGTGAGATCAGAGCCAACAGTCTGCATGACCTTGCGACCCCAGATCCAGAGACCGATGGAAATGCCAACACCGCCGTAGAAGAGGATCCAGATTGGTGGGGGAGCCGAATTAAGTGGGTCACCAGAGATGGCCACCAGCCACAAACCCACCACAGGACCGATGGCATTGCTCACATCGTTGGCGCCATGAACAAAGGAACCGAAAACGGCCGAGAGGATTTGCGCAAATGAGAAAACTTGTGCCTCCTCCATTCGATCCTCAATTAATGTTTCCCCTCCAATCTGTACAAAAGTCAAAGTTGACCATAAAACAGTCTCAAGACTGTTGTAATGCTCATGCCACAGACTTGAATCAGCAATCTCAATAACTGGGTGTCCTTAAACGCGTTTCTTTATTTTATCAACCAACATTCCACATCTGTCAACGAAATTAATGACGTTCACATTATCTTGTCGGAGCAAAAACACATTGGTTTCAGTCATGCAGATTTTAGTGGCAGAATAATGAGGAATTCTGAGTTTTTGGAATGGAAAAGGTCATGCAGATAGGCGATTACACACAACAATGGCACTAAGTGGGAGAATGCCATGCCTCTTACCTTTTTAAGACTGAAATTGAATAAAAGCAAGCTATCAACAAACTAGGGATTGTAGAATTGGACAAGCGTATTTTATCACCGCCCAATCCGTCTGACCGATTCGGTAAATGAACGAGAGGTAAGGCAGACAGAAATCATGATGTCAAGCAATGGGTATACGAATGCATGTTTGGGGCGGAAAAGAAATACAAACACGGAAATGC